CGTTACCAAATTTACTTCAAGGATACAGTTAAAATGATGTTTTCAATATTGATGAAATGGGTTTATTTTTTAAATGTCTTCCAAATAAGACTATGATGTTTAAGGATGAAAACTGCTCAGGGGGTAATATGAGCAAGGAACGTTTGACTGTCCTAGTTGGAGGAAATGCGTCTGGGACAGAGAAATTGCCCTTACTTGTTATCGGAAAAAACCGAAATCCCCGATGTTTCAAGAATGTAAAAGCGTATCCTTTGGATTACTAGTCTAACAAAAAGTTTTGGGTGACATCAGTTTTATTTGAAGGCTATGTAAGAAAATTGGATCGGAAATTCTTCGCTAAAAAAAGAAAAGTGATACTCTTTATGGATAAACGCACAGCACATAGTTATCTACCTAATTTGAAAGCAGCAAACTTGCACTTTCTCCCATCAAACACAACAGCAAAGTTGCAGCGGATGGAGCAAGATATCATAAAGTGCTTCAAAAAGTCTTATCGCAAATGGCTTGTCAGAAAAATGATCTTAAATATTGTAAGCAACTAGAAGATTTGTAATTAATAAGCATTAATTAAATAATCCGACAATATTTTGAAAGACCAAAACCGAAACTAACGGTAAGTCGAACTTCCGATATGTCGAAGTTTTTCGTCAGTCCTATCAGATTCGAGATATCGCGAATTCACGTATTTGCTTATGTCTTTTATTGTAACAGTGATATATTTTTGCTTTGGGTACCTAGCAACTTCGATACATAGTTAGTTTGTTTATGTTCTATATGGTTTCATGACTGTCTTTGTGTTAAATAAGAAATATGCAGTGAAAGAATTGAAAGAATATAGAATGGGCCACTTAAGAGAATTGATACTTGACGGGTTTGACTTACTCGAAATAGAATGGAAAGAACAGTTGGTATTGTAAAAAAATGCCACATTTTAACAACCAATGAGGATTGAGATACCCACGCCATTACACTTGCAGGCAACCCATTATAGTGATATTGAAAAAGGATAAAAAAAACTTTTAACTTCCTATGCTCATTTTAGTCGATGAAAATTTCGAATCGGTATAAAGGGCACCTTTTCTGAAAGGTTCAAACATGATCTTTCAAATGGTGCCAACAGTTTCTTCATTTTTCAATAAATTTGTTGTGAAAAGAAAGGTTGTTTACCTAGAGCTTACAATATAATTGCTGCCATATATTTGTTCATCTCCTGCATCCTTGCCTCTAATGATGATCGCTTTTTAGATCATATGTTTTTTACAGTAGTTAATTTTTATTTATTTATGATGACTGACATTGCAGCAATATTTTTAAGTAATTAATCTTTTCGAATAAAAATTTATGTAATCCTTTCCTAAACTATTTCCTTGATCACTAATTACTCCTCTTAACTCCTTACTCCACCACATTAATCACTAATAACTTACTTTGCTCCTCTTTTTCTGTACTTTCTACTTTAGTAAATTCTTGTACCAAATGAAGAGCAGTGGCGACGAATACAATCACAAATAGAATAGACAAGAAGAATCTGTAAAATAAATAAATAACCATTTTACGGAAATAAATTTAATGTTATCACCAAGGTAAGAAAAAACCTGTAGAAGAGATACAGAATGAACAGTGAGCAGGTAAATATTTAGACTAAAACTTCTCCATGGAGGAATTTTTCATTCAAACTAGCCGGCACTTACGTTACATGTAAAAGAAAAAACTTAAAAAAACTTTTTACTTGGGTTAGTTTTGCCAGCAACTAGATTTAAACCTCTGATCAGTCGATCTCGGTGAATATTTTGTTAGCTATTGCGAAGATTCGGATATTTCTGCGACAATCAAATCGTGTGAAAAGGAGAAACAGAAATACTTACATAAGAAATAGTTCCGATGTCGTAAATTTTACCGCATCATTCAGTGCTTCACATGTTTTGACCTTTAGATCGAGTCCAAGTGTTGGCATTACTGTGAAAGTAAAAAAAAATATCACGAATTATGCGTGTAAAAAGTATTTTTTATAATATTAGGTTTACCGGAAAGTTCTGTACACAAAAAAACAGTGCGCCAAAAAGGACCCAATTGAATAACTTTTAATCTAATGTTTGGATCTTCATGCTCTAAGACTCACTATTAATGATTCAAGTCGGTAATCTCAAATACTATGCTGATTAATTAATGAAGATGATATTTTAAGCTACGAAATCAGACACAATAACGCACTTTCTGAGTAAACATAAATTTTTTTCGACGAATTTGATTTTCTGACCCCCAAAGCGTAGGGGGTGGCCGCAATCCGGAAAATATGGTCCCTATAGTTAAGTCAAGAGAGCGTTCCAAAGTTTGGACCTCTTAAGGTTAATTTTACTCTTTGAGTATTTTGCTATATCTCGAGAGCTTTTTAAACGAATTGAAACATTTTTGTACATAATTATAAAATTCGTTTAAACAAAGAAAATTCCACGTAAAAAATAAATTGTAGTAAATATTTATTGTTCTTTGTTATTTTATTAAAAAATAGTCGAAAAAAATTTGAATTGCAGGATATGCATTTTTTACATAATTTAAAAACATGTAAATTAACATAACAGCAAAATATTTGAACGAAATCTGTTTTAGAATAGTCATATAATTAAAATTCAATTTCTCAGGGACTATTCTGCCGATTTCACCCAGATTTTTGATTCTGCCATGTAAAATTAATGATGCAAAATACTTATGAATGTGTAAAAAATGCATACCTAACAATTCAAATACCGACTATCATTAATTAAAGTAATAAAAAATAATAACTAAAATTTATTTTTCACTTAAAATTTTTTTTTCACATCTTTGGATAAACTAATTTTATAATTGTGTGTTTAAAATTTGCTTAAAAAGTGTTCGAGATATAGTGAAATAGGAAAAAAGTAAGCATTGAGGAGTCTACGTTCTCCTGATTAAACCATATGGGAACCATATTTCCCAGATTGTGGCTACCTTCTTTATTTTGGGGGGGTCAGAAACCCGAATCCGTGAAAAAAAGGTATGTTTTTTTAAAGAAAGTACGTTTTTGTGTCTGATTTCGTAACTTAAAGAATCGTCTGCGCTAATTAATTAGCACATTTGAGGTCACCCCTCTTTAACCATTTAGATTGAGTCCTATAACGTCAAGATCCAATCATTAGATCGAAAGTTATTCAGAATAGTTTTTTTGGCACACTGTACATGCCTTGTTTTGCAGTAATGAAGGTTCTTTTATAAAAGAAAGTTGTAGGGTATTTACCCTTTTTCCTCAATTGACTTGTTTAAAAAAACACATGATGTAGAGCGCAAAAGTATTCAATATTGCAATCAAAGTATCCGTCAGATTTAATAGATATCTCTGATATATATATATATATACATACAGAGATGCCAACTTGCTCCGGACAGAAAATATATATTTTAAAGTGGTAGTTTATCAATTGTGATTCCTATTTTAATAAATTCAATTTAGTATTTAATAGATTCCACCACTATTTCTAAATAATTCGCAGGCTTATATAATTCACCACTTTACGAAAACTATGTCATGCTATACCCAGTGTTGCCAAATTGGGCTACAAGTAGCGGATTGGGCTACTTTTAAAAGTCCCCGTTACTGAAAATCGAATTTGGGCTACCCGCTACTTTTTGGGCTACTTATTATTTTTTGAATGCTACAAATCTTAAAAATGCGCTACTTTTTTCCTCACAGAAATATATATAAATTTTTTTAAATTTATATAAAATGATTCTGAATTCCCATTATAAAATGATTCTGAAAGTTTGCAGTTTCTTTACCCTTTTCAAAGAGGACATTTTTTGATGTTGTTAAAAACGCTTTAACTTTAGATTTGGATTCTTGATTTGTCCATATCTATGTTTCAAATCGTAAACTCGTGAAATCACAAAGATTTATATGGAAAAATATACGGAGAGTATAATGGGGAAAAAAATCTGTAACCACTATTAATCGGTTATCTTCTGGAAAAACAAATCACGTGACTCGCTTCGCTTTGAAACTCAGAAAAATTAAATCTAGAGTCATTAAACATGCTTAATGAAATAGTTGTTGTGAATGACAATGAGTTTCCAAAAAATATCGTACTTTTAAATGCTTTTTAGTAAATTCATTTTACTTTTGTAAATTACCATATATTTACAGTTTCACGAAAAATAGCATTCCAGGAAATTTCAAATAAAATTGAAAACTTTTCTCTGAACATTTGCTTATCGTATACACGCCCACCATTTGATTTGCCAATAGAATTATTACCGCAAAAATCCCAAATTTGAGAGATATAAAATCAGTGGCGCCGTCTCTTACCAACAAAGTGGGACAATTTTTTTCCTGATGGCATTCCTACAAATGGGATAGATTTCTGGTGCAAGGTCACAACAATTAAAAATGCAGGTGATGATCTTGCTTTTAAGGAATTGTCTCAATTTGGATTAAATATGTAAAGTTTACCGATTAGCAATACCACAGTTGAGAGAGTGTTTTCAAGGGTAACATATCAACAAAAACCAAACTTTGAAACAGAATGAGACTTGAACTTTTATCATCAATTCTTCGAATTAAAATGATGTTTGAAGATAGAAAGACATGTTGCTATGATTTTATACCATCAGCTAAAATGCTCAAATTTAATTCATCGATTTATCATGGGGAATCATCGACAGAGGAAAATGAAGAGGCAGATCACATACTTTCGGTTATACAATTCTAATATCTTCTACTACAATGATTTTGCATTTAGCATTTTTAGTGGGTTAACTTAGTCAAAAGAATAAGCTAATGTGTTAAGACGAATATTTCAAAAATTTCTGCAATTTTTTCCTTCTTTTCTAAATTAAATATTGCTGAAAATTATTTTATTTTAAATAATTAATTACAAAATTTAAAAATATATTTTTATTAATAGTATCTTTTTCTACAGAACTACCTAGCTTTCTACGTATTAAAAAAAGATTATGAAAAAATAATATTTCATATGCAAAAAAAAA